CAAATCTCAAAAATAAAATACTTTATCAATAAAATAATCTGTTTTAATATATATTTCATTTTGTCTTTGAACGCAACTCCATTTCCTTTAACCCCCTTTTTTTTTTTTTCTAGGAACACGCTTAGTTTGTGCAGTTTAGTAAATCTCACTAGTTCAGACACCCAGAAAGCTACGTTTTTTACACGCATCAACAAAAACATGCCATTCTTTACAACTTTGTACAAATAAGATGCCAAATTAATGCATAAAAAAATTCTTTCAGAGCCAAGGAGAGACTGAATTCCCAGAAGTACAGATTGTGGTACAGATTGGTATAGAGAAAGGATGCAACCAGATAAAAAAAAAGAAAAGGCGTTGCTTAGGCACACTTTAAAACTATTTATTTTTATTTTATATTGTACATGTACTAATAATAGTTTTGTATTAAAAACATAGCTTATGTGTATTCTGAATACTGAGCAACTTTCAGGACTTTAATTTCTTCTAACCAAAATTACGTAAGTCTCTCTACTGTTATATCTTTGCCTAAGCATGGCTCAGGAAAATAGCGTTAAACACCAGTAACTTTTCTCTACACATAAAATCATGCATTCGGGGATGAGCTAGAACTAGAACCATGTTAAAACACTTCGATATTTTATGGGGAATTCCCACCTTGAATACAACAGAATAAAACCCGTGTCTATTTAAGTATTAGAAGCTGACTGCGTGATTCAGGCAGGGCCAGAAGACGTGAGTGGCACTCAGGTCTGCTGTCCCTTCCTTCAGCTGGTGTTTCACCCAGCGTGGGGTATCGCCTCTGTAATCAGGTCCTTTGCAGCTTGGGGTGAGTAGTAGATCAACTGGGCACTACGGGAGGCTTGCCAGATTAATTTGGCCTGCTGCCTGTTGTTCAATCTGGAGTCGTTGAAGCCCTGGGTTTCCCTGGGACCGTGCTGCCAAGTGCTCCATATGGGATGCCCAGAAATATAGCCTCATGTTAGGGAGATTTAGGTCTCCTGCGTCTCAGTGGGCCTATACGTTTTTAACAGCAATCCTTGCTTTTACCTTCCAAATGAACCTTGAGAAGGTCTTGTGAACCTTATTAAAGAATGAGGTTTTAAATTAGGGGACGTGGCTGTAGCTGACACGGGCTACAGAGGAAGATATTTATTCTGAGATGTTACATCCAGATGAAGCAGGGCGAGGTGCTCTCATGAGGAGCTTTGGCCAGAGAGCGCCTTAACCCTGGGCTCCGCAGCGGGCAGCTCTGAGCAGCGGGCAGGGCACGACCCTGAGCTGAATGGAGGGGACCTGAGCTTGGGGCAACCAGAACGCACATTTTCTGTGGCACCGGGAAACAAAAGGGGAAAGAGTTTACCCTTGGAGAACAGATTTGTCTGTGAAATGTCATACCATAGTTTTACTAATGGCCTGCGGCCTGTGCCACTCTACACAGTCTAATGCTTTTCCTCAGTCATTAGAGCTGCAGGTGGAGGTTACGTACTGTTTTCTTTCTGTTCTAGATTATTTCATATGGGAAGGATTTTTATTTTTATTTTTATTTTTATTTTTATTTTCAATCTGAAGTCTAAAATAGAAATAGGGAATCTGTCTGATGTTATTCTATCACAAGGAATTTGGATTTTAGGCAAAATTATTTTCTTTGAACCGCATAAATATTTTATGGGGAAACAAATTACAAGTTTTTGCTTATTTTCTGACTGAAAGGATCAGTAATTTTTAAAAGCAAAATGCGATGTAAAATCCCAAATACATCTTTCCCAAAGATTTTCTATTCTTGAAAATTCCCGTTTATGTCACTGATTTTCTGGTAGGTTAAAATGTTGAGAAAATGTACAGAATGGACTGGTTGCCTTCCCTTCTTCTCAAATCACGAGAGACGCAGAGATCAGTAAATGGAATCAAGTTCTCATAATTCTAATCATGCCTGGGAAAAGTCTCTTTGAATCTCTGCTTTCATCATGACAAAAGTAAGATGAACATGACTGTTAAGACAAACGAATTGTGGTGATCTCGCTTCATGATCATGGAATGGTTTGGGTTGGCAGGGACCCCACAGACCACCCGCCTCCCCCCCCACCTTCCTCCCACCCTCTTCCTTCCTCCCTTCCCCCCCAGTGAGCCCCCTGCCCCAGCCCAGGCTGCCCAAAGCCCCCCAGCCTGGCTTTGGGCACTGCCAGGGATGGGGCACCCACAGCTCCTGGGGCAGCCTGGGCAGGGCCTCACTGCCCTCATGGGGAAGAATTTCCTGCTAATGTCTGATCATAACCTACTCCCCTTTAGTTTAAAACTGATCAAAATTTTCAGATACATTCTTCACTTGCTGCTTTTCAAAAGTTGTTGAAACATTGTCGAATGTTGAAGATCTAGAGCGGCCTGGTAACAATCTTAAAGTTGAATCTGTTCTTAGCTGTTGTGGTGTAACCCACAGGTCTTTCCCTATTAGTGTAACGAGGTAGCAGTGTACTTTATGTCAACTAGAAATTGTTTCAGGAAAGCATATATTGTTACACCTTACTTTTTCTTTGTTATAATTAGAAACGCTTATGTATATATATATATATATATATATATATATTTTTTTTTTTTTTTTTCTTAGAAGTATTACTTGAGAACAGAGAGTAACTCAATGGACTAAACATTTTACTTTGGATTAATTTCTGTTACGCTTTTTGAGATTTCAGACAAAATGTTGTCCAGCAGTGTATCAAGACTTTATGTTAAATTTATAAGAACAGTAAAAATTCTTCAGGATGCTTTATAACCATCTTTTCCACAGCACAGGGATAAGAGTATTTTGGATTTTTTTTTTCTCTTTCTGCATCAAAAGGATAAAAATATTATTAGACAAAATCAAATAAAATATTCACTCTCATCCTGTTCCACTTCTGCACAATGTGATTCTCCTTCACCTGTGGTAATCCTGGTTTCAGTGGCACGAATTGTAGCAGCTGCATATTTACAAGCAGTGAGCTTGGACTGAAAATCTAATTTCAGGTTGACATCATGTCTGATTCTTTTCAAGAGAGAAATTTGGCAAAGGAATGGGAGGAAAATGGTAATAGGTAGGTCCTGGGCAGCCTTTGTAGGTAATGGTAATAGGTAGGCCCTGAAAGCTTTTGACACGGTCTCCCACAGTATTCTGGAGAAGCCGGCAGCCCATAGCTTGGACATGTGCTGGGTTAACAACTGGCTGGATGGCCGGGCCCAGAGACTGGTGGTGAACGGAGTGACATCCAGCTGGTGACTGGTCACCAGTGGTGTTCCCCAGGGGTTGGTGTTGGGGCCCATCCTCTTTAATAATCTTTATTGATGACTTTGATGAGGGAATTGAGCGCACCCTCAGTAAGTTTGCAGATGACACCAAGCTGGAGGAAGTGTTGATCTGCCAGAGGGCAGGGAAGCCCTGCAGAGGGACCTGGACAGGGTGGGTCAATGGGCAGAGGCCAACGGGATGAGGTTCAACATGGCTTAGTGTTGCGTCCTGCACTTTGGCCACAACAACCCCATGCAGCGCTACAGGCTTGAGGCTGGAAAGCTGTGAAGAGGAAAAGAACTTGGGCATGTTGGTCAGTGCCCGCTTGAACATGAGCCAGCAGTGTGCCCAGGTGGCCAAGAAGGCCAGCTCTGCTGAGGCTGCCCCTCGAGTGCTGTGCTCAGCTTTGGGCCCCTCACTACCAGAAGGACTTCAAGGCCCTGGAGTGTGTCCAGAGAAGGGCTGTGAAGCTGATGAAGAGCCTGGAACACAAGTCCTGTGAGGGGTGGCTGAGGGCACTGGGGTTGTTTAGTCTGGAGAAGAGGAGGCTTGGGAGACCTTTTTGCCCTCTTGAACAACCAGGAAGGAAGGTGTGGGGAGCTGGGGTTGGCCTCTTCTCACAGGTAACTAGCAATAGGACCAGAGGGAATGGCCTCAAGTTGCACCAGAGGAGGTTCAGGTTGGAAATGAGGAGACATTTCTCCTCAGAAAGAGCTGTCAGCCCTTGGGATGGGTTGCCCAAGGCAGTGGTGGCGTCCCTGGGGGTGTTCAAGGCACGGTTGGACGTGGTGCCTGGGGACATGGTTTGGTGGTGACATTGGTGGTAAGGGGACAGTTGGCCCAGATGATCTTGAAGGCCTTTTCCAACCCTAATGATTCTGTTAGTCTACGAACGGCAACCTGATATGAAAGGCAAGATCTACAAACAGCCTCTCCTTTTGTACCTTTTATTGAGAGTATAATTAAATGACCTATTATTTTCCGGTGTGTATGTTCCTCTGTCAAGGTGCTTGGAAATATTATTGCCCTGGTATTGCTTTTGAAGAGGCCACAAGGCAAGAGCCAAGGATGCTGCCGGGCTGCCTTCCTGCCCTCACACACCACAGGGCTGACTTCGGACACACATCTCTCACACCCGCATTGCTCCTTTTTCAAACTTTGTGTTCTCATTTGTTAAGTATTATATTCTGTAAACTTCTGGGCTCCTCCAGTGTGTAAATTACATTAGATTGAAATCTTTAAGTCCTTGCTTCACTAGGAACAGAAGGTGCATTACTTTGGTAAGGAAGGCGTTGACTAATAATCGTTTGTAAAGGTGAAGAGAAACTCCAGGTCTTGTTTAATCGGTTGATTATGGAAAAGTAATTAAGTTAATCCATACTCGGACTTTATTTAGGTATCCTTAATTCTTTTTATGGATATTCTTCTGCAGAACATGAGTGATCTTGATTTGGTGACCGCTTTATAGACAGGAACCTTTCAGCAACACACCACTGACTGCTTTGTTTTAATTTTACTTTGAAATATCTCTAAGACTCGTGAGATAAGCGGCTGTTTTGTTCCTTCATAACGGGAAACCCTTTACAACAGCGTCTAACACCGCCGTGCACCACCACAGGACTCCCCCCCTCCATCCCTCCCCTCAGCCCTTCCCGCCCTCAGCGCCTGCGCGGGCCGCACGGCCCGGGCTGCGCCCGACCTATGACGCGCCGCGAAGCGCCGCGAAGCGCCCCACGTGACGCGGCCCTCACGTGAGGGCTCCTCCCCCCCCCCCCCCCCCCCCCCCCCTTCCTCCTCCTCCTCAGGCGGCCATGGCGGCGGCGGGGGTGGTGGCGGCGGCCGGCTCGGCCCAGCAGCTCGGGCAGCTCCTGAGGCAGCCCGGAGGGTGAGAGGGCACCGGGGGTACCGAAGAGGGGGGTAACGGGTATTGGGGGGGGCGTTAAACCGCCGCTGGGGCAGGCGCTGCCTCAGGGGGCGGCCTGAGGGGGGGGCCGGCCCCCAACGGCCCCCAACGGCCCCCAACGGCCCCGCAGCGCTGGGGCCCGGCCCGGCCCTCCCGGCTGTGCCCGCACCGCGCTGGGGCTGCTCAGTGCTGGAGGGGGGTGCTCGGAGCCTCTTGGGTCAGCTCCGTGAGGTGGGGGCGTTGGGGGTGGTTTTGGGCTTGGTGTTTAGGGACGTGGTGGTGGTAGGGGGGTGGTGGGAGCTAGGTGGCCTCGGAGGGCTTCTCCAACCCCTAATGATTCCAGGATTTTCCTCTGACTTGAAGGTGTTTGGTTTTGGTGTTTTATTTTTATTTTCCTCGCTGCTAAGAAACCAAAAAAAGCAAACGAAGCTTCGCTCACAGAGCTAACAGCACACAGCTCCCCCAAATCGTGTATGTATATTTTAACTGATCTCATTTCTGAATTATGATAGATCTGAAAATATACGCTAGCTTACATAGCTTACTTTCCGTATTTAGATTCACAAAATGAACGTGAAGGTGAGTAATGTCAAAACAATTTTAAATGCTCACTGAAATAATGAAATGGAAAGGCAAAGTTTCTTAAAGGAATATTTTTTTTTAGAGATAAGTGTTTAGATCAGAAACACACAGAACTCCTAAGGTTCATCCTAATGCTATTTTACTGCTAACTTTGCTTTTTTTAAAGGAATTGCTCTTTTTCCAAGCTAATAGGATTGCCACTAATCATTTGCAAATGTCGTCACTTTACATTGGTGCTTAATTTCTCAGGAGTTCTTGTTTCAGAAAAATTAATCTCTTGCATCAACTTATTAGTAAGCACTATTACAGAAGAAGTATAAATTTGAAGGTTTACTTTTTTCCAAAACGTTTAAATTTTTAGAGTTTCAGAAGATGAACTGAGTCAGCATCTTCAAAGTTTTTGAGCCTCTTCTCTCATCGTTTTGTAGTCTGTTGTTTTGCATAGCCTAACATGTTAGAAAAGTCAGTGTATAAACCCAAGTAATTTGGGCTGCTGGTCAAACAAAGAATATAAGTACTTACTAAACATTTGCCATATAGGCTTAAAAAGTGGGTGGATTACAGAGCAATTATTTCCTAGATTTCCTAAGTAGAGAACATCTCACTGATCCGGTTCTACAGTCAACAGGCTCTTTGTTTTAAAGGTGAGCTTTGTGAGTCTGTCTCTAGCAATTTTTTTTTTTGTAAGGTAGAAACAGGACTTTCAGAATGTGTGACACATCCTTGTAACTTATCTGCGGCTACTCAAGGTAAAGAAAAGTGTCAGTGATGGAGGAAGTGAATTTTAATTTTTGAGCCCAAAGTTTACCCCCAGAACGTGAAATACGGAATGATGCAGGAAGAGAAACATTGGGGCATGATACAACCTTTTTGTTTCTATTCTGTTTTGTGGGTAATGGTAATTTACTTTAGAAATAGTGTGGTTGAATATAGGAAATATGTTGTTTAGAATCACTAATCTGCTTCATTTTGTTAACTTGTATTTTTTTTTTCCTTCTTTAACAATAATCCTTTGAATTACTTTTGTGTTTTTCAAGCTTCATTTAAAACGCCCAGGTACCGAGAGGGTAATTACAGAATTTAGGCTTCTTTGAGTGAACTTTTGTTTTAAAAAAAAAAAAACCTTGGTGCAAATTAATTTAAAATAAATATTTAATTTTTATCTTTGTGAAGTGCACCACAGCTATATGTGGGTAAGGAAACACCAGGTTCTGGGGAAGCGAACATTAAGTAGCTGTGATTGTCCCTTCTCTCTGCTTGGCACATGCAGACATTGGTGTGATGAGGTTACTGGTGTTTTGGGCTGATATGGAGCCACAGACTGCTTCTGCGCGTTGTCCCCCTGCGTGGTTTTAGCCCTGGGCAGCATCCCTTGCCCTGCTTGCAGTTCAGCAGATGCAAATTCTTCCTACCTATGCAGGCATTGTACAGTTGCTGTGACAGCTTGACAACTGCATCCACTTTGTTCCCTTTTATTAAGCCTAGAAGCTTTAGGAGACCAAGGCAGAATAGCCTGTTTTGTCATGACTACAGTGACATTGTAAAACTTGATTTTTTTTAGAATATAACTTGTTCAGCTTTGGTCCATTTGTAGCAAGTTCCCTGAGCTCTTCCCAGTGTAAGTAAGCAGCGTGTGCATGAAGAACAGTGCTGGAGGAGGCCTCCGGGTTGGAACTTCACATGAAGGTTGTGATGGGCAAGTACAGGAAAACCAACCCTGGAGCAAATTTCTCAATTACTCTGCATCAGAGCGTGGTCTGTTCCCCAAGATACCGACCTGCTGCTGCCTCTGGCGTTTTAAAATTCTCTCTGTTGTGCCCAGGCCCTCGTGCAAATGGAGGATTCCTCCCCTGTCCTGGTCTCCCCTCCGTTCATGGGCTCAGTCAAGCATTGGCTTAAAAACCTGCGTGCTGAGCAGAGCTCTGGGATTCACGTGTTACTTCGAGCACAAGACCTGAGCTTTCTCAACGAGTCTATCAAATCCCATCTATAAGTAAAGAATAAATCATTTAAATGAGGATTTCAGATCTAGTGTCAGCTGTGGGCAGTGAAATCAGTCCAAAGCTGAGTTCTCATAGTTAGTAGGAGAGCTTGTAGTTCTTGTTAATAGCACGGCTATTTTCTTGTAATTAAAGAGAGACTGTTTGCCTTTGGGATTGGTGCTGTTGGTGACTCGTAGGAAAGTGCTGGAAGAATCTGTGCAGATGGCAGCGCAGGAGGTGCTGAGCTGTCCCCGTGCTCAGGTCTAAGCCTGCGAGGCTGGTGCTGCAGGAAGACGGAGCTGTCCTGCCGTTCCTTGCCTTCAGCTGTCGCTAGCCTCTAAGTCCTGCCAAGTTTTAATCAGCTTTCAGAGCAGAACCTTGCTCTGACTGGTGGCACAATGGGAAAAAAGACTGCCCTAATTAGTCTGCATTTCTACCAAGGTTTCCTGGAATTGCTTTGGAAAATCAGCTTTATGAATTCTATAGTTCTGTGGCTGAATTGAATTCAGCTTTGTATTCACAATACGTGCTCAGATAACACAGCTGCTGTTCCGATATGGATGTTGTGCTGCCCACAGGGCTATTACAATTTATAGTGAACTTTCCTTATTTACTGATGAAAGACACTAAATGGCTTCCAGGGTATGGTTGCGTTGACTTCTGCATCTTTTTTGAAGCACGTTAAAAACAGTACACTGCATAGGTTTTATTCTGCCTCTCCTGTTATCCAGCGGTTTTGACTTAAGCAAACCTGGAAAATGGAGTTGAAAATAAAATGCAAATATGTTGTCACTGTTGTCATCAAAGGCTGTGTGGTTGAGCTTGTGAGAGCTACCTCGTGGTACCCGGTTTGGTGGGATTTGCTGAATGGAGCTCTGGGGTTAATGCGTCACATTGAGCGGTCACATGGCACCTGAGGGCTCTCAAGGAGTCTGTATCAAATCCCATTTATAAGTAAAGAATAAATCATTTAAATGCTGTGTCTGATTAATACCAAACATTCAAGGAAACCCTGAAGTTGAATAAGAAGTTGAAGCAGAATAGGGTGTTTAAGTCATTACGGTACGGTGTTTTCAGAGAAGTCCCAGCTGACTTGAAAAGTTCCCACTTTGTTTCCCGGATAAGGAGCAAGGGGCAGTCCTGGCATGCGGAGAGGAGCTGTGCTGAGGCCTACAGCTCCCAGGGCTTCTGAACCCAAAACCTGGCAGGGGAGAGATGTGGGGTGCCTGAGAGCTTCATCTTCATCACCTCCCAAGCTGCATCCTGTGGTGTTTCACTTGATCTCTACTGTTCTGGCTGCTGCTTGCTGTCTGATGTTCCCACAGATGATCCTTAGCTATCAGAACACACGATGACAGTTTCTGTGCATCACCTTAGCAGTGGCGTTGGATTTTGGTGAAGTTCCTGAAGAAGCAGTGGGGTTGTCTTCTCCGCAAGCTGTAGAAAATGTTCTCAGTTTGACTTGTTGATTTCTGTCTCAGGAAGATATGTGCGTTTGTGTGCGTGGCAAATCCAACTTTTATACTGCGTAATTCTAACGTAAAAATAAATGCTGTTTTTTTTTAATAGGTCCCTCGTAGTTGTCCACTTCTGGGCGCCATGGGCTCCTCAGTGTGCTCAGATGAACGAGGTCATGGCCACGCTCGCCAAGGAGCACACGCACGTCACCTTCGTGACGGTAAGTCCCCAAGGCCAGGCAGCTGAGCTGGGCTTGTTTTAAGCAGGGGAGAGCTGTTACTGCCATGAGGGAACAGAGTGCTACGAAGTACGAGTACAGCTGTTCTTGTGCTTGAAGACAAGAGTTGAACGTGTGGAAGAGGTATATCAAAAATTTTGTGGGATATAAGGTCTTGCTTCATCCAAATGTGACACTGCAAGCTTAAATAACATCTTTGTTTTATCTTGGTATGGGGAGAAAAAAAAAAAAGGAAACATCAGTCTGCTAAGATACAATGAAGAGGTTTCTTTCATTAGCTACTTCATCTAACAAATCAGCCTTTAAAGTTGTGCCTGCAGCACCTTGGTCCAACCTCCTGTGTACAGCTGTATTTTTGCAGTGTGACTTTTTACCCCTGGTTTTGAGATGCCATTTTAAAAGAACGGTGGTTCTTAATTACTGGAGGTCTCTTGTTCCCACAATGTTACTAGTTGGCTGCATAGATCCCAGGATTCATATGGATATCTGAGTTGATTCTCTGTCTGATACTTAAGATAAACTAATTTTCACGAGGTTTATGGGAAAGACAATTTAAGCTTATACAACGTTGATGGTTGTTAATGAGATGCCTCTGATTGTGGGGGCAGGGAGTACTGGAATAGCCAGCTGTTTGTGAATATTTTCATTTGATTTATGACAGCTTTTAGTGTTTTTTTAATGATCCCTCTCTCGGTTGGTATTTCTTCCTGTAAAACAGGAGGATGGAACTATTTTAATTGGGTTATTTTATGAACTAGAGCATCAAAGGACTAATTCTCAACATTTTGAAAATTGGAGATGCGTGTTTTTATGGCGTTGTTTTAGCTTTTTTAATAGCTCCAAGAAAGTTTGAAAACTTCCTTCTTTTCTAGCCATGTGGCCACGTGTTGCAAAGCTGAGACAATCGCACCTGCCCCCTTAGCCCACCAAAACTCCTTTAGTGCTTTAGAGAAAGCACTCTACAGAAAGTCTTGGGTAAATTCTCTTCCTATGGATTTTCTTTTTTTAATTCCTCATGGGGATGTGTGTGGTTTTTGGAGGTTCTCTGTGTGATTTTGGTCTGTGGTCCAGAGTAGCCAGAATCTGAATCTTCTTTGGCCTTTTAGCTCACCAGATGGTTACAGCTGGCTAACGCAGAGTGGCGTACCGCAGTGCAAATCCTGATCAGTCGCATTCTGGGACAGAGCTAAGGAATAGTGAAATAAACTTCAGCACTGACAGTAAATCTTGAAGTTATTTTAAACGCAATTTCTCATGTTAGTTGTTGCATATCCTAATTCTAAGATCCTTGCCTTGGTTAAAATGGAAGTGTTTTTATGATGAGAAATAGAAACAGTGTTTTGATAAGAGCAAGTTACTGGAATAAGAAATGAAATCTGTTCTGTGTGTGTGAACCTTACCAGAGTGGAACATAAATAAGGTAAGCAGGAAACTTTACTGGAAAAGAAAAATTCATATGGATATGTCATTTAATCATCTCCCACTCTGAGGAGGCCAGCTAATTGAAATCTATTTCCAGGTTTCAGTTTACAGCTTTAGTTTCTCTGTTCTTGTTGGAGCACTTACAGGAGTAGAGGCAAAGATGAACTCTGTTCTGAGTTACTCTGTTGGGTTGTTCTGGTGTTCAGCAAGAGCCTGTATGGCTTAAGCAAATCAAAACACGCTGTAGTGTTAAAATATTCAGAGGTTTGCTACGTTTCAGCTGAGTGAGAACAATCAGTAATGTCTGAAATAATGCAGTAGGGTTGGACAAGAGGGCAGGGGCAAGCTGTTAAGTAGCTCTCGGTGCTTGTTCCTGAAGTGTCACCGTGTGGTTTGGGGAAGAAGGTTTTGAAAGGCTTTTTCTTCTATATTCTTGATCGCAGGCTTCTGTTTGAAACATATCTATTAGCATTTTTTTTTACTGTTAACTCCGCAGTTGCTGTAGAGCTAGCGTTTTAAACACTTGCACTCTAACTTCTGTCCCTCAAGTAATCTTTTAGCCCATGCATAGAAAACCATAAATCTGAGTCAATTAAAAGATGCATCTTCTTGATAATTTCCTACATTGTGTATTTTCAAGGTGTGCCTTTGAAGGCTGAATAAGATTAGAACCAATAATCTAAACAAGCTTTGCACTCAATACCTAGTAGCCTTGTAGGAGTTAAAAATAAAATTTAGTAGGCATCAATAGCTTATTGAAGAAATGCTCCTTTTTGCTTCATAATTTGCAGAAGGCTGCAAAAGTCAGTCGTGATGTACAGCCCCTAGAAATTAGTCAATAGAGCAAACAGCAAGAATTGCTGTGGGCAGAAAATAAGCACTGTGATCATGACATAACTGGGGTCAATGATTTATGGATTTCAATATAGTAGTAGCTGCATATGATTGAAAATTTACTAGGTCACCAGTGCACCAAAAATTTTATTCGCAGCCTCCAGGCATCTTTGGAAATGTGCAACAAAATAAAAACCTCTGAACCTGTTTTGACACTGTAGGCTCAGTGGATGACACGCCAACCCAGTGAGTCTCATTTAAATGCAAATATGTCACAAACTTCGGTATCAAATTCCTTTTAAAATGGATAAAACGTATTGAAGAACATTTTAGACAGGTTTGACATCCACAATTGAGCTTTAAAGAAGATTATGAAAATAAAACTATCTTTCTCTCTCCTTGTTCTTGTTTTTTAGCTGGAAGCTGAAGCTGTGCCCGAAGTGTCTGAAAAATATGAAATTAGTTCTGTTCCAACCTTCTTATTCTTTAAGGTAAGAGAAAATGGGTTTAAGAGAAAATGAGCTTATAATATGTATACTTTTTTTTATTACTGCTGGAAAAGCAGAAACTTAGTAAGAACTCTCACAATGAAGAAATGTTTGCGTGTCTGATCTATTCCATCCAATCGAACCTAAAAGAGTAAACAGAAATGATTCTGTGTAATATTTCAGAGGTTCCTTAATTGCTTTGGGTTTCATATAAAGGTTTTATTTTAGCTGTCATACCTTCTTGGGTCATATGTTTTGGTAATATTCCCTAGCTATGGTACTACAGCATGACAAAGTAAATGAGCAAATAATCTTTTGGTAGAAACGACAAGTGTGTATGGAGCACATTTGCCTGTGATGATAAAATTCAAAATATTTTCTTTATCGCTCTTTTAATAGCAAACTTTGCTAGTGTTAAGAGTAGCAGGCTAACAGAATGGTGTGAGTCTCGAGTCAGCTCGAACTAAAGATTGGCTGAAAGATCAATACAGTAATCCGCTCTGCATCTGAAAATCTCTATTTTTTATGGTGGTTTTTACTATTTTTTATGACAGTACAAATTCTGGATTTAATCCTTTAACACAAGCCTGTGTGTTGGCTTTCCTAGAATTCTCAGAAAGTTGACAGGTTGGATGGTGCACATGCCCCCGAGCTGACCAAGAAAGTCCAGCGCCACGCGTCCAGCAGTTCCGTGTCTGCTGGCTCCAACAACAGTGCAAAGGAAGATCTGACTGCGCGTCTGAAGAAACTCATCAATGCTGCCCCTTGCATGCTGTTCATGAAAGGCTCTCCGAAAGAGCCTCGTTGTGGTAAGGATTTTCTGAAGTTCATGTTCAATATGGCAACGCTTGCTTCAGGCTGTTTTTCAGAACTACTCGGTTGTGTGGAGTTACATCCCAACAGTGTGTTGCATGCTTAGAAACATGAAGGTGTTAGCATACTGCTTATCTGCAGCTAGAGCACTGCTGTTCCCTTGCTTAAATTTTGGAAATGGAATGACAGAACAGGTGCTTCCCAAAGAACGTGTGCAATACTATCCCTGAACTGGGAAACTTTTCATGAGGTTCAGTTGCTGTTTATTTTGTGCCTTGTTACACATGTTAAAAATGTAACATAGTCTGAAGAGAATGGTTCAATTCAAGGAATAACAAGAATTGACTAACCTCTGGCATTGCTGTTGCCATTTTGGAAAAAGAAAATAAAGCCATTCTAGCTGGTAAAATTGAAAGATGGTAGCATGATTCTGCCAGGGTGGAAATGCTTTTTCTTAAGCCTAATGCTTTTAATCCTTGCTCACCATCTAGAGTGTGTGGTTCCCAGCTACCTTGAAGAGTTGATCTGTACTGGGAAAGCAGATAAATGTTGAAGAGCAAAGTTGTTAAGCACCGTGAAGCTGCCTTCCTTCTGCTCAAGCAGTCGAGAGCTTGCTTTGGGGAACTGACTCTGTAGAGCCTTCTGTGCTGCTCTGCAGGAGGTAACTAGAAGGATGGGGACTGCTCAGCCAGGCAGCGCTCTTGGCAGTGCTTGCTTGGTGATGGCTTCCCCTTGTTGTGGTGTAGCTCTGTGGGCATCGTTTTGGCAATTAACACAATGCTCTCCAGGTTGTCTGCTTTGAGGGTAATCCCCACATGCCTTCTGGGGACAAATGTCAGGACAACAGCTTCTTTAAGTTAACCTTCACTTGTCAACCTGCTCCTCACCCACCAGTCTTTTTGCTGATCCCTTAGGGGAGTGCACGCTTAGCTCCTAGTTTCTGTGCTTTTATTTTCAGATGCACCTTTCCCCCAAAGCCCATATCCCACCTTGGGAGGAGGGAGAAATAAATAATTCAACCAACCAAGGAGCAAAATGCAGTGTAAGAAAACACCCACAATCACTTATTTGTTTCTCTCTGTGTGTACAGAACACATGGGCTTGGTGGAGTGAGAACAACATGGACTTGTGATATGCGACTTGCAAACAGCCTCTGCTGTTCTGCATTGTGTCTGCGAAGGCTTCACCTTACAGGAGAGCAATTTACTTTTTGGGAGCTATGCTGTGGCTCTGTTTATTGCAATTGGTGATGAGGTCGGTAGAAGCAGTAGGTCTTCTCATTACTTCAGGTACCCTTGGGTCAGGATCGGTGCTTGACAAAGTTTTGGGTTGTTCCGAAGTAGATCTGTGAGGTGCAGCCATACAGTAACCCCAAGTCGTAGGGCAGTGCTCTGACGAGCCCCAACAGTTGGTGAGTACGTTTGGGGTGCCTGTTTGGGGCAGGTTGTTGAGCTGTGTGTTTAGGTTTTGCTGTGCTGGCTGCTGACATGGCAGTGCTGTAGTGAGCTGTGCTTGTGCTGTGAGTTTGGTGGGTGTGTGGCGAGCTGTGAGGGGAGGCACGGCTCTTGCTGCGTCCTCGGTGAGCCCATGAGCGCTGTGCAGGCAGGGGCAGCTCTGCCCTGACCTGCTGCATGCCTGGCTTCTCCTTACACCCGAGGCAGCCGCAGGGCTGGGCAGCACCAGCTGGCAGTGTGGGCACGGCACAGCTCCTCTGCAGGCACTGAGCAGGCTGCTGGGCAGATTTAAAGGTATGTAGGAAAAAGACCCCTCACGGATTTGTGTGTGTTTCATTGATGGGAGAGGCTGTTTAAAAACAGAAACCAAAAAGACATGTTGAGGCATCAAACCTAAGGATAGTTAAGTACTGTGGCATAAACCCAGCATGGAAGGTGAATTAAAAGTCTAACACAGGTTCATGTGCTTGTGTTAATGTGGTGAAGTAGGTATTTCTTCAAACTTTCAGTTCCTGTATTTGATCCCTGGTACCCCCTGAAAAATACAAAGGAGGTGCTTACCTAAATAGATGAATGTATTAAAATGTAGTGCAACACCCAACATCATCTGAATGTACAGCTGTGTATTTTGTAGTTAGCCTAAAGCAGGCACTTTGTTTGCTTTGATAGCTCCTGGCAGTAGCTGGGAGGTGTTAGTAAGCTGGGTCAGACATCCTTGAATGGACACAGCCTTTTCTGAGGTGAAATAAGGTAACCTTTTGTCAAAATCTTGAAATCTTTTTGTAGTTTGTGGCTCCTCCATTGGAAAAAACAGCAAAGCATAGGGTAAGGTAAGCTCTGTCCCCTCTGTGTGGGTCCTGGCAGCTGTAGGTGGTTGCTGTGGTCGTTGGGTTATTTCATCAGATCCCTTCGGCCTGCGATAGCATTTATTTGCTTCATTGATGAAGTCATTTATTTAGGCTGAGTGGCATTTGTGACTTTGTAGATAATTGCTTAAAATGTTTTGTTCAGTTTAATTATTCCATGTAATGTGTGCATAGTATTTCCTCAGAAATTCAACCTAAATCTTTTGTTATGAAAGTGAAGCTGTTCTGGCACTTCATCCCTAAGCATAATACTTGCAGGCTGCTACCATAACCCTTCAAAATGAAACACAGCCAATCAATCTTTCTAGTTTGCATGTAATTGCCTACAGCTAAAATAAAGCTTCCCCCCCACTGCCTCTTACAGTAGAAATGAGCTAATGTATTGGTGATAGAATAACCATCAGCAATCAGCCTTTAGCTGTTTGCTAATGAACTCCCAGATGTATGGAAAAATTCAGAATCTGTGTTTTACTTCAGGCTGTACATGAACTTAACACTTCGGTTGTAGAAAGAAAAGCAACTTAGATGCCATACATATAAATACTGCTACTTCATATCTCAATAAATTGCAGATTGTGAAAACTGCAGAAAGCTGTAGTAAAAATCCATATTTCAAAAACTAATAGGTGGTCTTGCAAGCTGAAATCAAAGGTTATTCTTGTATGGCACTCTGAGTCGTTTTCTAATTTAAAGCTTCTTTTTTCCCTTTATTAAAGCCTTTAAGCATCGTCTTTTTTTTAACATTTGTGTAGAGGTTTTCATCTGTCTGCACAGCGCGTGTTGGAGTTCTTTTAGGAATTAGTAGGATTGCAAGGGCATTTGACTATGCAAGAATGAGTTAGAGAAGATGTAAAACATTATCACGTGGTGTTATGGGCAGATGCTCAGGGATGGCTTTTGCAAACTGCATGGCACTGCGATCTAGCGGGTTGGTATTTCATTAGAAGGGCTGTTCACTAAAACAGCAGCAGTAGGTGTTGAAATATTTTGGGATAAGAACACGTGTTAAAAATGCAGCAAAACTTCAGAATCTTTCAGTGCGTGGCTATGTATTTAGCAGTTCCTTCTGAATAGCTTAATTTTTGTAGCAGGGCAAGTAGAGGAGCAGTGGAGTTCTGGATCGAGACCTGCTCGTTAGCTCTAATGATCCAGTCCTTGCCTTCCTTATGCTATAAAGTACAGCAGACCTTTTCCTAGCCATTTGCTTTACAGACTAAATATCTGAGCTGGACTGTGAAACGTGGTAGGCTGCTGTCTTCTGCAGAGGACCATTTGTGCCTCTGCGTTGGTGGAAGTGTTAAATGGATGAAAGTGACATTGAGCATCAAAGGCTAAGGTTTCTTTTCAGATTAGCCCGTAAAGAATGGACTTGTTGACTTGAAGGATACAGCCTGGGGTGTGGGGTTGTGGTTTTAAAGTAATTTCAAAGAGTTTCTGTGGAGAGTAATTGTCTTAAAATTTTCTTTTGGAGACACCAATTTCATGTTTCACTTTAATAAAAGAGAATGGCAAATTTGAAATAGAAAAGAAGGAGAATTGTTTGGAAAATGAAATTTTATGTGTGTTTCCCCCTAGTGTAAGAAGATTTAGTTAAGTTCTGTAATACCAGAATTTTCACAAATGCAACTTTTTATAGAAGATATGATGATTTTATTTGGAAGAAGATTCTTAGTTACAGAAGGGAATAACTTTTTTTTCAGAGGTTGGCCACATAATTTATAAAATCTGGATGTTTACACTGTAATATTCACTGCTTAATATCCTTCAGAAGAAAATGTCAGAGTAGGGCTCAATGAAAATTGGTCATAAACGGAGAAACAAAGCATGGTATGCAAGTATCACAAGGGTGGTTAAATAATATTATATACTCATGGGAACATAAAGTTTAAAAAATGGAGGAATCTGCATTTTTACCCTGAAGTAGGAAAGGACATACTCTTAAAATAAAAGTATTAGGAAACAAACATTAAAGCCAAGTTTCTCAGTTAAATCGGTGACGTAGTAGTGGATTTGAATCCCAGTTCTGCACTGTCAACTTCCACTGGTTTTGGTGCAACAGAAGGAAGGTCAGTAGTAGCTAGAGAAATGACAGCAGCAGAGAAAATGATATGCCAGTGGAGGAATGAAATGAAGGCTGCTGAAGATGCTGTTACAGTTACTGAGCAGCTTTTCGTGTTTATGAATGCTGCATGGAGAAGAGCTGGAGGAGACAGAATAAGAGTGCGTTTAGCTTTAACAGTGCGTTGGAACAACAGGCAAGCATCTGAAGGTTACTGTGTAGTTTTGCATGTAGGGAAGCTCCAGGCTTACCAAGCTGTCTGTGTACTTGTACTCCCAGTAATAAACACGCTTTTTCCTCCTTTATACTATTTGAGAATATCAATAGAGCAATATATAACACATTATAACTTATTGGGAATTTCCTATATGGAAGAATTGCATATTTTTTACTGAATGAAGCTTAATGCAGATACATCGATACTGTGCTTAAACTTACATATATCTATTTTCTTGTTTGCAGGTTTCAGCAAACAAATGGTGGAGATACTGAACAAACATGGTATTTCATTTAGCAGTTTTGATATTTTTTCTGATGAAGAAGTTCGTCAGGGCCTGAAAACATATTCTAATTGGCCAACTTATCCACAGTTGTATGTAGCTGGAGAGCTTATAGGTGGACTTGATATTATCAAGGTTAGATAATGAGAAATTTCTTAATCTTGGTAATAGTCAGAAGCATGTGGGTTTTGTTTTTGCTCTTACATCTGATTTTTCTTCTCCAATCCCTAGGAACTTGAGGCTTCTGGAGAACTGGATACAATCTGTCCGAAGGCACAGAAGTTAGAGGACAGGTATGAGGTACTATGTTGTTATTTTAAGGAGGTCTGTTCTTGAGATTTCCCGTATTTTCATTTTTACAAAACACCTATACTTACTCCCTAAATTCCTGTTCTTTATCAGTAAGTTGGAATGGTTTAAGTTGGAAAGACTCAAGGTCATCTTTAAAGATCACCTAGTTCCAACCTCCCTGCCTTGGGCAGGGGGATACCTCCACTAGATCAGGTTGCTCAAGGTCCCCAAATTTCCTTTCAATTACAGAAATCCTATAATCTTTAATTCAAGTTGATTAACATGTTCTGTTTTCTATACAGTAAACATTTCTTTATATAAAATTACTAAGCCATATTGTTATTACAGGCTTTGCTTATTACCTTTATAATTGGTTAATTTTTTATTATGGCAGGAGTGTATAGATTTTTGTCTTTTTTTAACAAGAATTTATTCTTTAAAGGTAACTGAGAAAATCCCCTTCTGAACACGCTAGTAACTTCTGCTAGCTTTATTTGATGTAGGCTTCATAGCTATGATGTTATTGTAGGCAAAATACTTAGTAAAGGCTTCTGCTCATTTTTCTTGATTACTCCTGTCCTTCAGTTCCTCTTTTCTTTCACCTTGGCCACATGAGCATATGCTGCATCAGTAGGCAGCGCTGCTTCCTGAATCAGGGGTAATGTCTGGAAACCAATTTGTCCTCCTTTAACCTTCCTGTTTGAAGATTCACTCCTGTTTGAAATTCCGACGTGCCCCAGGCAGTCAAGCTCCATACATCTGACAGGTCGTTCTCTTTGAGAAGATGCTGGTGTGTGTGGCACTCCTTTCTGGTTTGCGTGAGCAGTGCTGCTAAGACATGCAAACTGAGGCTCATTTACCAGCAAGGTGGCCTGTGCCTTGAAGGCAAATATGTAAGCAGAGATTTCCCACTTGCTGTCTGAGGACGGCAAGAGCAGGTTTTAAGGAACGCTAGGTGAGACTGGTGCTGGTCTTCTGGTTTCTCAGCCCAGTGGAGAACTAATTTGATGAAACTCATTTTGATAACAGCAATGAAGGACGCTCTCAGAGTTGTGTAGTTATAAATTCCCTTTTCACTTGTGCTGTGCTTGAAGTTCATGTATTGTTACTCCAGGAGGGTAACTTGTAAATTGTTTCAGTGAGATCACAAAAATCCTCACCTCTTGCAGGTTAAGACTAAATTATATCTAAAAACGAGATTGTGACCATGTTTCTTTCAAGAAATCTGTTCTAGAAATCTTCCTTTAATCTTTTTGTTAATCTTCTTGCAAAATTGCATACCCTGTAACTTCCCTGAATTTAAACATCACTTTTTGCTTTGCCTGGTCTGTTTGAGGGGGAGAAGGTAACTTGAAGTGTCCTATACTTGGCTTTAATAGACCAAAATTATTGGTATAGCAAATGTCTCCCTAAAGGAGCAGCAGCATCTTTTAAACAGGCATATGAATTTTATCAATTCTATCCAGTTTTGACGCAGAAATGGTGTGAAGGCAAACTGGATGAGTTGCAAGATGCTTCTTGTTACCTAGTTTATTCTTGCTCTTTAAGTTAGGTGCTAGTTGATGAGGTTAACGTGCAACAGTTTTTTTCTGAGGTCTGCTTTCTGTTGACACCAGGGAAGTTTTTTACTCTGACACATATTAGTTTTTCTTTGTAGTTAACCTCATGCTTAATTTTGGGGCAACTTCCATCTCTTTCAAGCTGTGCTCACTATATCAGTCGCTCATAAGAAAAAAGAAACACCTACGGGCTAGCTGCTCAAATGTCTTAAGACTCAAGAAAGTGAAGGAAATTGATAGTGGAATACAAGATGGCATTAACTAGATTCTGTTACTCAGTGTTTGATCTCTTCTAATCAGTGAACTGTGTCATCTTTTGAAAATTGCCTGGAAAATGGACTCTGGAAATCAGCTTGCTGTAGTGAGGCAGATCTGGAGCATGGGGAACCAGCTCAGATTGCAGTAGCTCATCCTTGCTGCAGGTGTTAGTTTAACTCTTGCTTTTTACCCTAGAGGTGACTTGGATGGAAAAATAGGTGGTTTTAGGTTTGTAGCACAGGCGGTAGGTCACCAGCAAAACATCTGTATTTTGCAAAGCCCTGGGATTCTCCAGTCTAGGATTACTTTGCATTGAGTGAAACTTCAGAGAGAATGCCCAGCTGCCATGTGTTTTACAGAGGGTAACATGCCTCCAGAAGGAAACTGTTGGACAGCAGCTTCTGCTTTTTCATCAGTTGTCACAGAAGGACTTTCCTAAAAGCAGAGGGAAAGGTGGGGACCGTCTGGTTTTGTGGGTGAACCAGCAGCAGCCAGGGCACAGTGGACCTATTCCTGAATTTCAGCAGTGGTTTGTCTGTAGTGATTGTGACTGATTCTAGGAATGGCTTTTCTTCATAAGACTGCCTTGCATGTAGAACAAGAAACATCACACGTATTCAGTGTGTGGAAAAGCAATATATGAGTAAATACACATACTGTGTGAAAAATAACCAAAAAGGATGTTTCTCCTAAATTTGTTGCTGCTAGAGGTCAATCTAGAAAAGTAAATTGTTGCTCTAAAAGTAACAGGATTGTTCAATTTCATTTACTAAAAGTACTGTAAACAGTATAAATGGAATTGCTTGTAGTGCTGTTTTAAATGCATTTGCTGAAGCTGTAGGTTGCTGTCTTTCCACTTCTTGCATTTATTTTCTTGTTGAAACAGAGCTTGAGAAATAACTGAGCTGTTTTGTCTTTTTTCCTGCTTTCTGTAGGCTTAAAGCCTTGATAAACAAAGCTCCTGTGATGCTTTTTATGAAGGGAAACAAACAGGTAAGATTTAAAAAAAAAAAAAAAGTATATTCTGCAACACTTTCAAACAGCTAGTTACTTCTTTTCCTTGCTTAATAAAAATTGGTGGTTCTGGGAAGTTACGTCTTCTTATTTGGTGTGAGTAATAAAAGAACAGTCTATATTTTACCTGATTGAAATATATTGCTCACATGTTGATAGCATTGTTACAAACCAAGCATGAAATACTCCGATTTTAGTGACATCTGTCAATTGATCTACAGTGCAGGAATGAATGGAAGAACTGTGCATGTCGTTTTGGTCTTGGCTTATTGATCGTCTTTGCAGATAACAGGTTTTCTTCTGGTGTACTGAGTGCTGTCCCTGGTGTCTGTCCTACTTGAAGCGTACTCTTTGACTATTACCTGACACTTTAACTTTGGCTACATTTTTTTTTTTGAAGTTTCCCTCTGATGACCTGGTTGGATTGGGTGTCCTATCCTTTTCAGTTTCTGATTTTATTATGCTTTCACAGCTGCTTTGAAAACCATGGGTGCTCTGTGTCCTCACACTGTCAATGTAAAGAGTTTGCAGTATGTAATTCAAATTAATAATTGGAAGTGGGAGTTGCTGTACACGTATTTTTATATTTATTGGTTGGCCATAGTGTGCTACTCTCTCCAGAATGGTTAAGGAAAGGGTGGAGTAAGTCTCCAAATAATCTGTTTTACAACTGCATGCCAGGCATACACAACCTATATATGACTTTGGCTTTCTGGATATTAAGAAAGCTCTGAAGCCCCACTAGTTTCCAAGATAGTATCACCAAACCTAGAAAACAGATTCACCTTGCATCACTTCGCAGCTGAGGAAAGTGGTTAATATTCTCAGACTTCTCATTTACTTCCAAGTATGGAAAGAAAGATCTTCAGTAGAGTTTGAAGCTTAGAGTGGAAAGAAGAATGAAAAAAGGATTAGTAGTATTGCTCGTTCAGTCAGGTTGCCATTAGCAATAAATTGATAATAGCTTTAGTGTAACTTGGAGCTGGAATTCTGTGGATTAAATATAGCAGAAATGTGTTCTAATGTCTGTGTGTTTTGCATTCTAGACTGCAAAATGTGGATTCAGCAAGCAAATTATAGAAATCATAAATAATACTGGGTATGTAAGTCTCTATGTAATTTAGGAAGCCAGTTCTGTTTTAACAACTGCAGTTGAATATTTTCCAAACTCGTTATTTATGGTGGAAGACTTCCCAGAATGTCATTTTCTTTGCTCAAAAGTGTTTGAGTATCCCTATATAAAAGCCAGTAGTGTAAATCCCTACTCCGTTCATTTGATACCAAGTCAAACGTGGTGTGTCTGATATTGCACTGCTTTAGCTCTGCTGCATAGTGATTGTCTTGCTCTGATTGAACAGGTTATTGCAACAGTAATTTTTTTGCTGTTGACATTAAAGAAATCCTTCCACTCTGATAAGCAGCTCCTCTTAGAGGTCCCTCTTGATCAGCTTCCTTAATCTTGGAGCCTCTTGTTATGTAGTCTCAATTTTCATCTTCAAAGCAGTTACTTCTGTAGTGAGAGAGAGCGAGAGATTAATATCATCTTTCTTTGAATAAACCCAGGTGCCATTTGTACTGCTAGTGTGAGGTTAAGCAGTTGCCTCGATAACTAAATGTTAGAATGATTTATTGGCTTAGATGACAGACAACTAGAGAAGGACTGTAAATATCAATATACAGTTCGGAAATAAGTAGTGGTTATTCAAATTGTTATTCCCTGTCATTGACCCTTGAAGGAATCTATGTACTTTCCAGTCACTGAAGACTGACAGATCTTCGGATGCAAGGAATTTCATACCACAACTCAAATATGAATCAACCAGTACTCAAATTTGCATTGGCACTTTATTGTGGGTGTTTTCATGTATTACTTGCAAAAAAAAAAAAAAATAGTTGCAGCTGGATGATCCCTTAGTAAAAACTTCCAAAGTATGTCTTCTCTTTTTTTTTTTTTTTTTTTTAAAAGCTAATACTGACCAGAATTGCTTTGAACACATTTGGTCAATAACAGTATAAACCATACATCTTAATTTTTATCACATCATGTTCTCATTAGTGCATTGTAAGGAGTTTCCCATGAAACTAGGTATTTGTTAGATTAGTTCTTGATGCCTGTGAAGCTGATGTTTTTCTTTATTATTACAACCCTTTTTTTTTTCTCCCTTTCTAGTGTTGATTATGAGACATTCGACATACTGGAGGATGAAGAGGTAATTAAGTCTTTCCATCACTGGTGTTTGTCGTTACTCTTCCTAAAGTTGAAGTTTACAGTTCAGATTGTTTTTCTTAGGTGCGGCAAGGATTAAAAACCTATTCCAACTGGCCAACGTATCCTCAGTTATATGTGAAAGGTGAACTTGTTGGAGGCTTGGATATCGTTAAGGTAAGAATGGGAGAATCAATGTAAATTGACCACTTGTTTTAAAACTTGAGAAATGTTTTCTGCCTATAACATCCAGAAATGGCTGTGTAGTGGCCGTGGATCTTGAAACTGAGCGTCTTGGTTGTTTTTAGTGTGACTTCCATTAGCTCAACATGCGCTTGAAAGGAGCTCTAAATCTCTACCATTCTCATATGCCAAGATTTATCAGTGAAATGTATTTTCTTGACAGCAGTCAGTTACTGTTAAGACCACTTTTACCCCGTGGGTGTATTTTTACAGGTTTCTCTTCTTAGTTTTACTTCTGACATTGCTTTTCTCAAATAAGGTGGGTGAGACATTTTTTCCTACCAAAGAGTCTCATTCCTGGAAAAAAGTAAGGTTTATTGTAGTTGTTTGAACAGACCCCGAAGCAACAAAAATAGATCTGCATCTGTTACTGTGGTTTTTGATTTTTGTAACAGCAGGCACAGTGTTCTAAACCCCAAATACTCTTGAGCCCATTCTTGTCTGAATGTTTTATAGCCAATTCCTCAGACATTGTAACTCTTGGGAAGATGTAATCAATAAATCTCATTTAGTTCTAAAAATACTGGTATTACTTAAATTATATAGATTACTTTAATTTTATTTATTTAACAAGTGTGTGGGTTACTTCAGTGATCAGTAAGTATAGTCTTGGGCATTGCAGAGATGCTACAAAATACTTCTCTCACTGGTATTTAAATATAATTTGTCTATTTGTGTTGTTAGGCTGTATTCGGTTCCCAGTAAATTGTATGGGTAGATGAATGTTGTCTGGACTTTAAAGTGCATTCCATTACACAGCATAATATGAAATAAAACTGAGATAGAGCTGTTTCTCTTGAGATGTGGGAAAAGAATACACACTCCACAACTCAAGTTATTTTAAAACCATTTCCTGGTTTTCTCTATCTGTTTAGTAAGTTAAAGCCTCAAAATTTGAATTAAGCCATGAAGATAATACATGCAAGTACTTCTTATTTATAACTTGTAAATCTCATTGTCTGGTTTGACAGATTTTGCTACCAGCACACATTAAAACAGTGGGTGATGTTTTTTCATTTTGGATGCTGTAAAATTTTGTATATGCTTAGATGTATCTAGAAGGAGATGTTTCATGGGATGTTTACCTGTTAAAGTTGATAATAATTCTTTTGAAGGTTTCTTTTCCCTAAATAAGCACTCTTTTACTTGACAGACACAATTTGAATTCAAGATTATGAACTTTAAAGAGTCTTGGTCAAGGGAGACCTCTAGTGGGTCGTCTAGTTCATCCCCTTAATAGCCACTGAATTGATCTGTAAACTGTCCCTGTTGAAATTGTGTTAGTGTAATCACAAAATGTACAGAGAATAATTGTTTTGTACATTTCTTTACAGGAGCTAAAAGAAAGTGGTGAACTGTTGCCTATTCTGAAGGGAGAAAATTAATGTCAACGGACAGCAATGGGAACTGAAGTACTTTGAACAATTACTCATTTATAGATTATATTGGAGCAATATACAACTTAGCCCTGTGGAACTGATCAGAAGTAAATAAAGGCTTCTTATGTACTCTGTATTTCACAAGACCATGTTACATGTGAACATGTATTTCCATTGAAGACAAAAAAAGTCAAGTTCTTCAATTAAAATACAATGCTGAAGAAGTTTGGGGTTTTTATTTATATTTCTATGTATTCGTTGCATCCAGCTGTTCAAGAGTCAAGTATGTGTTGCACTACTGTATAGGACTAAATTGCATCTTTCTGGGGCCCAGCTATCATTAGGAGAATATTAATGGGAATACCTCTGTGGTATGGAGTGTAATAACTTTCTGTCCCTGCTAATATTTATTTTAATGTCTCGTGAGTGAGAAAATGCTGTTGAAACCTTAATCCAGTGCACCATTAGGAAGTCGTTATTAATGAGTTTCAGCTGTATACTGTGCATCTTCATTATTTAAGCAGGTACAGTAATTGTTAATTTCAGATATTAGTCCATTTTAATGTAGCTCTTGGACATGTTTAAATTTTAGTGGAAATGAGCCAATAAATGCAATGATTAGGCCAGTCTTCTGATGTATTCGGTGTTACTTCATTTAGAAGGAAAGGTGTACTTTCTGGGCTACAACTTCTTTAGTTGTATGTTAATATAGAAATCCTTTTTTCTGGATTTTTTATTTTATCTTTGTTTCAGTTACTGGTAATACTAAGAAATATAATGAGCTCTAACAATAGGCTGACCATCAAACCAGCTACAGCACAGGTATGACTTCTAAGTGTGTCCTGGATGTTTTACCTCTGGGGAAAAATAAAGCAAAGCAGCTTCAAAAATCAGAATACAGCACAGGTCCGTGTTTCTCTGCAGTGCTGACGGGGAGGGTATTTCTCTTCAAGGGAAGCACCTCTTGCTTTCAGTCATGAGTTCCTAGCCTCTGCGCTGAGATTATTGAGCTGTTTATTGCAGAGGATGGTTTTGTCAGTGAAATACTGAAATACTTTTTGGTGAGTTACACAGAGACCACTGTGTGTGACAGCGATATCAGCTGCTACAGATTTCCAGCTGCAAAATGCTGGTATAAACTGTTCTGAGTGCATCGGCCATATACAATAAAGACAAGGACACCAGTATTCTTAGAGGGGTCTGGAACCTGAAGAGGAGCAGGCGCTGTTTACAAAACCCAGCAAATGAAATGCTGGCAAGCAGAGAAGTGCCCAAACTCACCAGTAGTAAATTCTGAGCAGAGAGGTATTGCTGAAAGCCTATTGCTCACTGTTGTGTTGTCTGTGCTTGCAGAGAACACCTGTATGCTCAGATCTGCGGCCAAAAATGTTTCTGGAAAGTTGCTCCCTTGTTAGGAGGGGTCAGGACTGAAATGCGTGCTGTACAAAACGTTCCTGATGGATTAGGTGATGTGAGGTTTTAGGCAGCAGCCGAGGAAGAAGGTTTTGGAAACAAGTTTGGGCTTTGTTGCTTAAATTCCATTTAAATCTAGTGAACTGGAACCTGAAGCAAGACTTTTGAATGTAGTCCCAAACTACTGAAAAAGTTGTGTTACATAATTATTAGAATGATCTGTATTTAATTCAGCATTAACTTTGTAAGGAATAATTTTAGTCACTATTTTGAAAAGTATATCTTACAACTTTAAACCTATTTTAATATCTATTACAAGCAGGGGCAAGATTTTTTTTTTTTTTGAGAACAGGCTTTAATCAGTGTCTCAAAGTGAATTGCAAATGCATCCAGGCAGTTGTCAGTAATTACAACCACTTTATTTAAAAACAAACAAACCCCAAAACCTTAATAAGTAACATCCTTAGGGTCAAATTAGGAGTTAGAAGCTTCAACTAAAATGAGACTAAACACAGAAATGAGACTAAATTTCTCATGTAATAGCTTTTTTTCTTTTAAAAGCCTTTTCCTTGAAAATTCTAGTGGAATTTAACTTCCCAGGATTTATAGTCCTCACAATACATTAGACATGTGAAAGACCAGCAGTGAACAGCAGTTGTTTTTTTAAGCAACAATACGCTTTTCTTAAGCGTATTTTAAGCAACACTTAAAATACGTGGTATCATTTTTTTTTTTTAATCAGAATTCATTGTAAAGTAACTCAATTTAAGTCAAAATGTCACGCTGTTCAGACAAAGCCAGACTTTCTGGAAATAGCACTTTTAAAAGTTCTTTTCCCAAGGAGCACTTTTCTCAGTGGCTGTCCTGCCCTGCCTGGATGCAGTGCCCGGGGGTGCCCGTGCATCACTGAAGAGCCCGGCTTGGGCAGGGCTGCTCCAGATCAGGGTTTAAAT